TGAACAAATATGGAGGTTCTTTAATCTACTCACACTAGAGATGTGCTAATATCTTACAATGATATACAGGAAATAACTTCTTATGTAACACACCAAAATTTTTTAACCCTGCTGGGAAATGAAAAATAAAAAAAGTATTTGTCATTAAGCATTAGGGATGCTTTAACACAAAAGCTTTGATGTTGGGAATAAGTATGTACTGCAGAAAGCTATGTTTATAATTGGATTAATTTAAAAACATCTGTACGAAAAGTCCAGCACCTCTCCAGACAAGCTGTTTCTAGAGTATATGTGGGTCATGTTCACTACACGCTCTCCTTTACACGACCTAGCCATGAACTTGAGCCCCATGCTCCATGCTTGCTGAAGCCGGAAGAACAGAAAGGCTATTAGAGGGAGCAGGAGGGGAGAACACAGCAGTCATGAGAAGTGGAGGGGCAGGCACTAGGACAGAAAGGTCTAAACACGGAGAGGAACTAATGTATGGAAGGTGCGTGGGAAGAAGGGAAGGTAACCAAAACTAAGGATAAACAAAAAAGCCACATGGAGACTTACTGTGTCATGAGCTTATTAAAAATATAACCATAAAAAGAATCTGAAGAGGGGAACCCACTAAGAATGAGTTGATAATGGCCCTCCAAGAAGCCGTGGGTTCTTAAACAAAACCCCCAGTACAGACATGGGATGCCTCAATATGGACTGTTGGTCAGGGAGCCCCAAAGTTCCCCAAACAGAACAGGCTGCTGCCACTGCTCGTTACTGTCCACCAGAACTTGACCCTTTGTGAAGAAAGCACATTCTACGGTCACAGCCAAACAGACACCACACTGGAGCTGAGCTGGATGCTTCCTCCACACCGGCCGGCTAGTCTTCAAGGTCTAGAAAGGTGCTCTTCGGGCCGCATGGGAAAAGTCACCAACAGGCTAACTCAGCTGTAAACCCTATGGGCCACAATAATGACCTACCAGGCAAGCTGTGCCCTACAGTGAACACAGTACTGTGACTTTGGGGAGAACCGACCACTCCACTCGAGAGAACTCATGCCAGGTCCGGTGAACCTGCTCAGAAGCCCTTGACAAAGGGGGCCCTAAGCCCTAGGGTTAACCTACTACTTGGGTTTTGACAAACAGTCATGTTGCCAAGTGTCTTCTAAATACTCATGTTTATACCCACAGATTACTTATTTGTCCAGTTTTCGTCAGAGAAACAACTTCTTACTCAATCAGGTAGTAGTTAAAGTGGAGACGCAAAACTAACCAGAGTGGTGTTGGAGTTTCAGCCACATGAAATCCAAAAGTGTAATGAGTCAAAGAGAACCCACAGCTGTCATGAGGGAACAAGGTAAGCTGTGACGCACAGTAAGAGGCTGTAAAGCAGCCTTGACTCCACAACTACAAGTGTTAAGATAAGCACAGACCTGATTGACATGGCCACTATCCTACAGCTGTTCTCCTTGGTGGGGCAGGCTAAGAAAAATGCTACTCCAGAACCCAGAACAAGTTGTCTTGTAAGAGAATTGCAACTTGTCCAGAGACGCGACCACTTCTTCTGCTGTCTTCGCTAAGACCCTGGTACAGACGCCTCCTTGCTCTGCTCCGCTTATTGTTTTTGTAGTCTACAGAAGCTTACCTTCCTTTCCTGGGTGACTTAATTCACAACCCGGCAGAAAAAAAAAGAATGGTACTAAACTCATGGGTACTCAAAAAGGTCTTAATCACTAAATACATAAAGTTTTCTATAGATTTACTTACAAAGATGTATTAAGTACCACCATAAAAGTTTAATATTTAAAACTCAAAATAGCTAAGAAATTACTGGCAGGCACATGAAATTGTCATTGAATTAGAATCTCAGGAACAACACAAGGATTTATACTCAGCCTTCTCTGAAACATTTCTAAATCAATAGCAAAGACATGAAAAAGAACACCCATGTGGACAATGAGCCAACATGGGGTAAGAGACATCAGCAAACAAAACAGAAAGCCAGAAAACAGGCTGGGAGTTAGGTTGTTCTTTAGTAATTCCATCCCTTCTCTTCCTTTTCCTCCTGAATGTCTTTTATTTTTTGTTGATTTGATTAAACTTTCAGTGATCTTATTCTCTCTCACCTCTCTTTCTCTCTCTCATTTCCTATCTCCTCAAACTTCTCATTTAACCTTTTTATGCTTTCTCATATCAAGTATTTAATATCCAAGATGTCTTCCTTTGTCTTTATCGCCATATTTTCATGGTCATTGGCGGGGGTGGGGAGGGTCTTGCTCTATCTCGTCCCTGTGTGTTTGCTGTGATTCCCTGATTGTCTGTTGTGGCCTCCATAGGATGTGCAGTGATATTTGAGAGCAGCACTAAATGCCCTCTGTAGCTCCGTGCAAAACCCACTGTAAATGACGTTGGATTTCATTGCTCTGCGGCCAGAATCTGCTGCTTCTTGTTGCTTCTCTTCTTGAAAGCTTAGATTCTGAATGCGAAGGGGCCTTTCCGGAGGCTGTGTTTACTGTTATCAGAAATAGCACGTAATCCCACCACTGACACTTCAAACAAGCTTTCCTGCCACAGCTCTGTGTGCACCACCGAGGGATTCTCTCCAAGTATGAGCTACTTACAGAGGGAAAAGTAACAAGCAATGAGTTCTCTTAAGGAATTGTAACTTACAGTCAACAATTTCATCTCAAATATAAATATATGTACCCTACTAATTCATTACATCACTTTTCAATAAGTATATAGTTTTTAAGATTTAAGTTACATTTATAAAAGTACCCACTAACACATATGCATTAGGCCATGTAAGAAGTGTTTTAAAATATGGAACTTGCTGGTGATCGCTACCATTGTACTAGGTCTTGGGCAGCGGCGGCGGCGGCGGCAGCAGCAGCAGCAGTAGCAGCAAAGACAGCAGCACACACCTGGCTGTGGTGCAAGAGCACTGTGGTGACACTGAGTACGCTGCACGCAGGCCCAAACACACATGTTGATTGTTACAGCCTGAAAGGCTTGGAGTGCAGATAGAAAAAAGTTACCAGAACATTCTCATTGCTTTTCCAATGTCTCAGTATGATGAAAACAGCCCTTTCTAAGTTAGTGTGAAGCAATACAATATTTCTATGTAGCTGAAAGTGTAAGTAGACAGTCTGATACATGCATAAAAACAAAGATTTGTGCAACTCTGACTTAATGAGGTATTTGTAAGTAATGTTCACCATTTCATTTAATATAAAATTCTATATCCATTCAATTCCTTATGCTTTAGTTAGTTAGCATTATGACAAAGGACATATCTGAACTTCAGTGATAAACTACTTATCAAATTTTTAACCTACTTCTAAAGACTAGATTCTCAGTGGTGCAATCTAGGCTTTACCTTTTAAACTCTATTTGTTAGCGCTGTTCTTTTCACTTTTAAATAATTCAAGAACCATGTATAGAATGGTTGCCTTGTTACGTTGACAAAATAGTGAGATCTTCCAATACTTATGAACATTCAGACAGACAGACAGACAGACAGACAGACACACACACACACACACACACACACACACACACACACACACACACTCAACTCCCTGTATAATATTTCAATAAACCATACCAACTTCGGTAAAGACACATGGTTCCAAGCCTGATGACCCAAGTTCCATTCCGAAAACCCCACAGCGGAAGGAGAGGACAGACTCCTGAAAAACTGTCTCTGTCTTCCTTGACCTTGCCATGGCAAGTGTTCTCAAATGTGCACATGCACACAAGCTCGCGTGCGCGCATGCACACACACACACACACACACACACACACACACACACACACACTTGCACAAGTGCACACACACACACATAATTTTTTTGAAAAATCAATTGATTTGTTTAAACACTATATGGCAATGAATACTAGCTGTGCCCTAATTAGTAAGCTACAAATTGCATCTGCTACATCTTGACTACTACAGATAATTTAGCATATTCTAAATGAAAACAAGAAAGCCCTGTATGCCTACAATTTTATGGATAAAATTCATCAAACTTTGTGTTGATCTGTTTAAAAGCGAGTGTAAGTTTTGTGAAAATATCTGACTTTTATAAAACAACACAAGCACCACTTCAGTGACAAACTGGTTTTCCAGTGACATCAGGAGTTGTATAGCTCTGTGAGAAACTGCGATTTCCCCAGGAATCTCATATCAGCAGAAGGAAATGGCTGAATTTGGTACCAGCCAGGGGAGGAACTTGTCTCTGACAACTTGTCAGGACAGACTGAAGCATAGACACTGATGGGCCAGACCACACCTTGACCAACACTGCTTAGACATGACCAACACCTGTTGCTCTCTATTCGAACCTAAGACTCATGTCAGGACCTGGAGATGGACTGGGGGGGGGGTGCTTCCTGGAACTCTTTGTTTGCTCTTCTTCCCAGTGTGCTCATTTGGAATCAATTCTCCCTCACTGCTTAGTCCTACCTGTTTAGTTGGCCTATTCACTCTCTGTTTACTCCACCTTGATAGGGCTGCCAGGGCCCAGGCCCTGACCCTGACAGTTCTGGCTACAATGGTTAGACACTGGTTATTTGTATGCATGCAGGAGCAGAACTGAATCATCTAATTCTGTGTGTAATATTTTAGAAAACTACCAACTGTTTTACAGTGTGAACCATTTTATATTCAATGAATAAAGGATCCATTTCTCCAGATATTCAGCAGCACTTACTATTTTCACAACATAGCTGATGGTCAGTTAAAGAAAGTTACAGATGGTAAGACACAAACTGTCCACGTCAAGATAAAACGCCCCTGTAAAGTCTTGCTATGTCAACTTTATATTCCATTAACCACTTGTTCTTTAAACACCAGAAAAGGACAGCAAAAGAAATATTTTAAGGATTTAATAAATGTCTCACTTGTGTAATGAATTAGTAAGTGCTATCGAAAGATTATAAGAAACCAAATAAAATTATGTAAAAGTGACCCAGATGACCTACAATATCAACTTTCAGAGACTAATTACGAACCGAATTTTCTTCCTCCTCTTCCAGCTCCCGCTGCTGCTCTTGGTGCCTTTTGGCTTTGATTTCCATGGCTTCCGTGATCAGGTCCCTCAGTATTGACACGGGCTTTGCATTCTTGATAAAATGATGCTATAAAGGCAAAGTTAAATGGTATGAATTCAGATTTTTTTCAATTATAGCCAACAAACACTAAAACACACATAACTGGTAACCAGCGTCACAAGTTTCAATATTTTATACAACTAATGTTAATTATGAAAATAGCCTTTTGTTTGCTTCAAAAAAAATGTTTTTGAGTCCACTTGGTTAAAAAAATCTAAGCATACACATAAAAATATACTCCTATTAATATACTCCTAATAATAACGATCTTAAAGATATAATTGTTAAAAGAAAGTGGGCATTAGGTGGTAAAAGTTTTCAAATATTTAAAGCAGATTAATGATTACAGGTAAAAATAAGCTAATTTGGCACTTATAAAAAATGTAATTAACCCTAATAACCGGATGGTCAAACAAAAGGGAACTAACTTGTTACTTTTACATCATCCCTATTCTGTTATGTCTTGAATTATTTAGTCACTTACAGGGTAGACAGAAAAAGAACTTCCGAACTCCCTCCTCATTTCAATCTATTGCCTCTTTCTTCCCTCATCTAGCTAAGAAATGACAACATTCTCTATTATTTTATAAGCTGTGCACTTTGATAAGCAAAAAAAAAAAGCCATCAGAACAGACTAGAACTCTTTTTAATTACATCTTAAAATGTGTGTGTGTGTATGTGTGTGTGTGTGTGTGTGTGTGTGTGTGTGTGTGTGTGTATGTGTGTACGTGTACACACATGTGGAGTCAGCTCTCTTTCTTTCTACTATGTGGGTCCCAAGGATTTAAGCCAGGTCACCATTCCTGGCAGCAAGGGCCTGCACTAGCTAAGTTACCCCATCAGCCTTGAGTAGACCTAAACTCTTCACTAAGGAGAAGAGCATGAGAGACAGTAGAAGAAATATATGGGACAGATAAAATTATGTTTTTGAGGTAATACTGTAGCTTCAAAATGCAATGCTCATAATTATTTGCCAGTATATATAGTCAGAGGAAAACAACCTTGTTTATTTTAATAAAGACTAATAGAACACACAAAAAAGTACAGAGACAACTAGCCAAACTAGTGAACCAATAGCTGAGGAGCCCCATGGTACTGGACTAGGCCCTCTGGATAGGTGGGACAGTTGTTTAGCTTAAACTGTTTAGGGGGCCCCTAGGCAGTGGGATTGGGACCCGTCCCTAGTGCATGAGCCGGCTTTTTGGAGCCCAGTGCCTATGGTGAGACACTTTGTGCAGACTTGGTGCAGGGAGGGGCTTGGACCTGCCTCATCTGAATGTACCAGGCTCTGCTAACTCCCCATGGGACATCTTGCCTTGGAGGAGGTGGGCATGGGAGGTGGATTGGGGGAAGGCTGGGGGGGGGCGGGAGGAGGGAGGACAGGAGAATCTGTGGTTGGTATGTAAAATGAATAGAAAAATCTCTTAATAATTTTAAAAAAGGAAAAAATGGGAAACATTTTTACAATAGAAAAAAATAAATTCAGATAAAAAATTTAGTGATGAAAAAATTACAGACACTTGGAAGGGGTTTTAACATGGTAAACAAATTATTTGATAAAACTATCAAGAAAAAAACTGTCAAGTAAGGGAAAAAACAACTGTAAGTAAGAATCTTACCATTATTTCAAAGTCCTAAGACTGATTACAAGGAATCAATTCTTTATCACAGTTAAAGATCCCATCAGATAAATGATGCTCTGCTGACAAATCCACAAAGACCCCAGTCACCCCCCAAACAGTTCTGCTGGACCCCGCACCAGCTGCTGTGCACTGGTTGGGACGGCCTGGTAAGTTTTTGCTGTGAATGCGAACACCTGTGCTATGTGCCATTTCTTAGGCAGAGCAACCATAAAGTCCTGAGCATATACTTCTCCATGACCACCTCCTTCTGTGCCACAGGGTACTTGTGATAACTTCTAGCAACTACAAGAAAAAAGGGAGTGTGCAGAGAATAAGGACCACCCAAGAAAGGAGGAAAAGGGTCAAAAAAATGTTCAGGAATTTACTACCGAAGATGAGGAAGACAAATCCATAGTCACAATTTAATTACGCCATACGAGTTCCATTCACAATGGTTTAGCACAAGCTCCACTTAAAGAGACGTAGAAACAAGCTGGGGTATGGCTCAACGGCCAACCGCGAGTGTGGCATACCCTGGGTCCTGGGTTCAGTTCACAGCAGCACCTCTCTGCCCCATAAGACATGGTGCTGTGGGGTAATGCCCTTCTACACTGGTTTAATAAAATGCTGATTGGCCAGTGGCCAGGCAGGAAGTATAGGCAAGCTGAGCAGATGAGGAGAATTCTGGGAAGAGGAAGGGCAGAGTGAGGAGTTGCCAGCCAGACACAGAGGAAGCAAGATGACAAGGCAGAACTGAGAAAAGATACCAAGCCACGTGGCTAAACATAAATAAGAATTATGGGTTAATTTAGGTGTAAGAGCTAGTCAGTAATAAGCCTGAGCTAATGGCCAAGCAGTTATAATTAATACAAGCCTCTGAGTGGTTATTTCATAAGTGGACTGTGGGACTGCGGGGCTGGGCAGGACTGGGCGGGACCAGAGAAAACTTCCAAATACAACAAGATATTCACATTCTGAAGAAAACACAAAAAGATACAAAAATGAAGATGTATGAATAGAACTTAGTGGAAGATTTGTCAGCAACACTACTTCAGTGTTCTTTGAGCCTGGATAGGAATAACAGCCAGGCAATTGAGATAAATGCTTAGGATGAAAAGCCTTGATTTTTATCTGAGAACAGGCTTTAATAAACAAATAAGAGAATAACATATAGGGAAATGTTGATACCATAATTTTGCAATGCAATTCAGTAATTAAATGCAGTGGCAAGATACAATTAAAAATCACTGAGAGCCTGAGGTATAAAATGCAGTTGCCAAAATAGAGAAGAAATAAATATGATGGGAAATGAGAATGATTTGGTGGCAACAATATGAGTCAAACAAAAAGAGTAGAATAGAAGGAAGAATTAAATAACACGATGATCGGGCCGGGCGGTGGTGGCGCACGCCTTTAATCCCAGCACTCGGGAGGCAGAGGCAGGCGGATCTCTGTGAGTTCGAGGCCAGCCTGGACTA